TCAATACTTATGGAACCAACTGTATACTATTTTTTGTATATATTCTATTTCATACACAAATTCAATATTATTTATATATGTAATGAAATAGTATTATAAATAACTAGAGAATCAAATAAATTTTTATTCTATTAAAAATTCGATTACAGATGAATCACACTGTACCTCGTACCAGGTAAAGTCTTTTTGGTATGAGAAACTTAAACACAATGCAAATTGTGTCACTTTCAACGCAATTTCTAATGCTAGAGGAAAAATTAGCGACCGGTAGAAAATAACCGTGCGCGACTCATTAATTTTTGCTTCAGCAGGCATCGCGTTTTTCCCTAAATCGTTGTGTCTAATTTCGAGGCGTGAAGAAAGATACAGTATAATTACGCGCTTGCACCGTAAGCGTAATTAGGGTTCCGCTCGAGCCGGTTAATAAGCAAGAGGAGCAGCAGGATCGTAAATCCTTTGTACAGCTATCCACGGTCGACGCTCGCCTACCATTGCTCCTCCACTTTTCGAGGCTTTTAATTTATCAGGATTTATCTTTCGCCTCTGTTCGCTATCCCGTCAAGTATTAATTATCTCAATTCGGTTAAATTCAATTGCATCTCGAGTGAATACCATCGACGACTGTGACTGCAAACAGGAAACGAACATAAACAATGACTGAAATTCTATAAAACTTTTGAGGAAATGGATACCACTTATACTTTTAAAACTAAGACATTTATTATTAATATATAATTATAAAGTTTGTAATTTAATGGATATCTATAGTTTGAATATATGGTTAGTCATAGTTGAGTGGAAGCAATATAAACCTTTTCGATTCTCCACATTAAATCTTTTTCAAAAGAGGTTTAAAATTGTTAAGGAGAAATTCATATATTGGTAATTATATAATTAAACAGATTTCGATATGATGCTAATTTTAGGTTGATATGTATTAATTTAAACATGCATCATATATTGTATACATATTCTAATGGAATCTAATTGAAAGGTCGATAATATTTATATTATTTTTACTGATTAAGTATATTATACTCTCAAATGTCAAGGATTTCTATAACTAATTTTAATTTCATTTTATCTGAGTTTCTAAGAAAAATATAATTTCTTTCATATAAATGTTTTATCGGTCATCTATTATTCTAAGAAAATTTCTAAAAAGATACGTTGTCTAGTTTTCAAATTATTTAAAACAACCCCTAAAATTGTTGACAAAAAATTCATAAATAAACTTTTAATGATTCAATATAGCAACACCAACATCCATTACACAATTGTTAAATATTTTTAAAAAAATAATTCATCCTTAAAGTCATTGAAGTATGGAAGAGAGGTGAAATTATTTCTCAAGCAAAGAAAGTTTCAGAATATTTTTTTATTTCCACCAGGACGTACTTTTATTTATTCTGAAATTTGATCTTTAAGATCAAGGCGAAGTGTCGCGACGCTCGAACTCGAACTCGAACGACGGAAAGACTGTGTATGTGGGCGACGTGGATAGAATTTTCCTGAGAGAGTGGCGATCGCGCGTAAACGAAGGATTTAGAATGACGCGACGGCGATTCGCTACAAATAAACTCGCTAGTACGAGGAGGGATGTGATGTCACCACTAAAGGAGTACCAATGTCGTTTGTGAGTAATAAAATTTCGCGGCTACTCGCGATTTACGTACTTACCTACGTGTTCTTCGCGCTGGAACGTTCCACGGGTGAAAAATATTACTCCATACACCGTTAACAGGCACGTTCAGTAGGCTAATAAAGGTTCAGTCGTCTGGATAGTCGAATTAAGAACAGACCAACCAGAAACAATTAAAATTCTTATTTTAAATTAAGTTCACATTAAATTCAGAATTTCACGTTAAATTCAATTATATTTTGAAGTAAATTTAAAATTAAATGAAATATTCAATTAAATTATAAGTAAAACTTCAAATTAATCTTATCTTCTCTTTTTACTCTTGTTATATAAAAAATAACTGAAATTGTTGTGTACATTATTTGATAATATCGATTAATAGTAGATCAATGTTAATCGATATTTATTGGATAAATATTTTGTTGCTTCATGCTACCAAATAATTTACAACTTCAGAATAATATCATGATCTGTTAGAAAAAAAATGCTCATGGTCAAACATTTATAAATTACGGTTTAAGAGCCACCTTATATAACTTGAATTGCAGGCTTTCCACGTATATTTCCATTTCTTCGTCTCCGAAGCAGAACGAAGTTGAATATTATACTTTTAAATGTGGACGAATTAATCCTTAGATACTGACAAACAAAATGATTCCTGCCACGAATCAGTTAAAACAATGATTTTAAAAAGTTGTCGATGTAGGTTTTATTCTCTCAGTTTTTATAACGTTATGGTCGATTGAAACGTTAGACCAGAAGAAGATTGAAGTTTATATGAGCGTTATATTTTTAACGATGTCTGCCAACCACGTGACTGAGTGTTCATTTTTCGATGTCTATTTTGAAATGCTTCCTCGTTCGTTAGGATATCGAGAACATGTGAGCGCTGCTAATTAATTAATTCCTATCTGTTTTGAAATTTCTAACACTTTATATTTTTTGTGCACTTATTCATCAATATTTGCAATCTTTTCTCTTTTATTGCAGCAAGTATGTACATATTATATCTTTCATTATTTTGATTGTACACATTAAACATTTGTCCACATTATTAAATTAAAAATTCAATTAAATTGTGATATATGTATAGAAGAGAAATTTTGTTATTTGCCTATATCTGCTGCTATTGGTATTATACTGCAAAAAATGGTTACAGTTTGACTTTCTTTGAGATACTATTTAATTGTTTGAACGTAATCTAGTTTAACATTTTTAACAAGTCCTAAGTAAGTATTTTATTATTATTTCTTTCTCCATAAAGGTGATATCAACTGCAGTGTTTTATACAAATAAATAATTGTTGTATCTTTTAAATTTATTTGGTAACTCGTCGATCGATCAAAATATTAATATAAAATAACTATCCTTGTTTATATCATACACAACTTCACTCATTTTTTTCATATTATCATTCTTTTTTTTATTTCTTGTTTGATGAGTGTGTATGCTGTATAACCAATCAACAAATGATCGCAGTGATTGGAACCGGTTGTCAATACTGTCGCGTCGCATTAAATCTGTCCCAGTCGGATTGAATCGTGCTTGACATGCTGCGAGACTTGTCACAATTACTGGTCGTTTGTACGATCAACGATGCATTTAATTAGAAATCATTGACGTTTACGCGTGGATGGATAGCACTTACTGAGCGGACCCTGTTTACAAAGAACCCCCTAATTAATTTTAAATGCACCGTTAAATGTACCTAAAGGCGTTGCAACTCTTGTTTTTCGATGCCTGAAAGTGTTTTCATTGCTGCATTTACGATTTGAAAGGCGACAACGTTATCGTTAAATTTATTATTAAAGTACCAAGCAATTGGAAATCGTTATCCAACAAATATTTACAGTTCGAAATACGAAAATAAAATTGTAATTGATTTTAGTGAATTAAGAAATTAAATTCAGCATCCAGACAGTCAATACAAGTGTTATTGTTTAAAATAATATACATTGGTATAGGTATAATATACATTAGGTCCTTCGCAGTATACGGAATTTTATACAAGCAGGCAAGTGTCAAATTACATATAAACCATGGACACAACTACAATTTATTTAAACAATTGTTATTGAGTTCTTATAAATTTATAAAAATAAGAAGATTATAATTAATAAAATTTGTGTTTGCTAAATTATTTATGATCCATTGTAGTGGTTAATGCAGTTATATTATAGAAACAATTAAAAAAATAAAATCAACTCACATATGTTTTTATTTACTATATAATCTAATATTTGAGTTATGACTCAAACTAGTGCACACGTTTCTTCATTCGAGGCGTGAAATGTCGTAATTATTCCTCGTAATTTATACGAACGAAGAATAATCATGAGATCTTCAAACATAGGTATGAATGGTTGCTGGTTTGACGCACGTAAGAAACAAACAACTATTCACCAACGCAGCAATATTTCCGACTCATCGTATATCGGAATAATTATCCAGTAGTCATTGATCGCGGTTCGATACCGGTTTTCGTACAATTCATCTCACTGACTCCTTGTCCATCCATTCGTTCGTTAACCCGTCGACGTGTTTACGCGGCAGCAAACGTCGGTGGCTATTTTCACGTTAAAAAAAAATGCGGAAATTAACAATCGTCGTGGTCTCAAAGGTGGATTCGATCCTCCTACGCGTGGTATTTCGGCACGGTTCGATAAACAAACGCCGCCTACGATGGTTGCTTAATGTTCGTTTACATTTCGTTTCTAAACGATTTGAAATAGACTGATGGAACAAAAAGAAAAATCGATTGGACTGTTTCGCCAATTTTTGTGACCTGCTTCAATTTGTTGTACAGTCTAAAATCGGATATTGTACTTAACAATTCGATCAGTGGTTATTTTGTTTTTGTAAGAGGGCTGGAAGAGGGCTAAACTTGTTGCATCTTTCCGTATTCAAATTTTAGAACGTCTTGATGATTCAAATTTGCAAAGAAAATGGGAATACTATTTAAGTATGTAGGATTGTACAGTCAGTCTCGTAAGTATTCGTACCTTGTGTCTAAATTAAACGATGAGATTGACGTTCCAAATAAATGCTTCATGATAAATATTTACACAAACAAATTTTTCATATATATATATATATATATATATGTTTATAACGAATATTTATTTGGAAACATCAAACCACCATTTAATTTAGATAAATGTCTTCAATAGATATAAAAGGTACGAATATTTTTGGGACCGACTCTATATCGCGTTAAAGTATTTCCTCTATTTTGAACCAATAAGTAATTATTTTTTAACCATTTTAAACACAAATTTTACAAGTTATATTTTATTTTTAATATTTTGACTACAACTATTGATTAAAACCCATTAACTACAAGTACTTGAATGTTTCGAATGCTCTAGTGCTGGTAAACAGGTTGTAGAAGGAGGTTATTACATTTTCTTAATGTATATAAGTGACATCATTCTGGATGAGGATAAAATTCTCGTCCCCATTTTCTAATCCTATCCGACGTGTAGCTTAAGATCACCTCGTATGATTCCTTAAAAGGTACCAACCAGTCGTTTTAGTATTGCGCATTACAGTATGATCATTGCCTTTTATGAGCCCTACGATAGTAACGTCGCAGGAAATATTATCAACCTTATTAATCGTTGAGAAGTATTTACATTCGGCTTCGTTCACGTGGATAAATTTGTGTACTTTTGCTGTGGAAACCTAGGATGAGTATAAATATTTATAAGTATATTAGTAGTTCTTAAAGAAATCAAGCAAAATAACACGATGAATTAAAGTTAAGTGCACATTACTATGCAGAGACGCGAAGTTCGTTCGCTGGTCTGATTGGTGAGGGGCATAATCTCCTGCGTTATACTACAAGAATCTATTCGTTTATGTAGCAAAGTAAATATCTCGTGATGCACTGAAATAACGAAAAAAATTTATTTACAAAAATTGTTCGGTTTGTAGGGTACAATCATATGATATATTTTTTTTCGGGCCTGGAATAGTAGGGAGGAGGGATTTCAAAATCAAAATAAGTTTTTTAAATGGGACTACAAATTTTTTTTTTCATGGCCTAATAGCTTTTTTCGAAACGAATTCAACAGTATATCACATTATTTAATTTGCTGTTTCCAAACGTTAGAAATTATATTATAACTTGTAACCTTTTGAGTAGGTAATGGCAAGACATATCGGGTTGCCGTGGCTATTAGCTGTAACACTGTTGTCATTTGTTTTGATGACTTGTGATGTTTGGCTCGAATCTCATTTATACTACAAACCGAACAATTTTTGTAAATAAATTTTCTTCGTAACTTCAGTGCGTCACGAGATATTTACTTTGGTAGATAAACGAAACACACTATACTGTAGTGTAAGAAGTCTATAATACAATTTATAATCTATACTAATCCATATACAGAATTTTATAGTTTAATCGAGCTGATCACATAGCCAGCCAATTTAAAAATGAGTCAGTTAATGTGTCTAAATATAGCCTAGTAATTAAACTAAGTAAAAACATGCTAAAGCAACGATCAGTACAGAATATCACGTTTCTCAAGTTGCAAAGTTGCAAAAAAAAATTACTCACCTTACTATAAAAACGTCATAATGATCATCTTGTTCTTTTTCTGTTTGTTTAATGTAGAGCGGAGAATGGCTGAGACTGAAAGTTCTGGAGGTCCAACCAGAATTAACGAAGCTCGGTGGTTCGCTAGAAGAGGCTACCGAATTCTCGAATGCACACGACGAAGTTCTGCTTCGATTACAGGTGAATAAATTGCATTTAGTGATTTTTTAGTACTACTGGCGGGGCTCTTTACGAATAAAACATTGACAGTTGATTTCTAAGAGTTTCAAAGAGTCTGCTTAGTTCAGATCTTTAATAATTGATACATATTTGACATTTGTTTGACGAGAACTATTAAATATACCTGTTTCTAATTTTAAAGTTTTCTTTTCTATGTTCACCGAAGCTAATTCTGAAATCTAAGAAATATAGACTAGTTCAAAAGTTATTACTAATACGTTACTTCAAACGATAGTACTAATATACTAGTTCAATAAGTAGTACTATTTCTAAAACAGCTGTAAAATCAACATTTTTTAATATTTTGAATAATCCTTCGATATATAATTAAATATAGCTACTAATCAGGATACGAATATCTGATTAAAAATATCTATCAACGTTATGCGTGGATAATTTAATTTTCTTTAAAACGCAAAGATTACTTCAAATGCATCGCTTTGGACATCTTCATAAATTGTAATATTCCAAACACACAAATCGAAAATATTTCTACTGATTATCAGTTTGTACATGTTAAACTACTACAAGGACAAATTAATAAAAATAAAAGAATCTTTCGTTAGCAACAAAGAAACCAGAAATGTCTCTACTGGTTACAATTTTGAATGTATCAGAGTTTAGCATATACAAAATAATAAGAAGAAAAATATTTTCTATCTGTTTGTTAGAAATACCACAGTTGAAGAGAATGTCCAAATAGGTCAACCATAGGGAATCTTCCACCATTGATACGAAAACACTATAAACAAAGATCACAACGGAGGTCTAATTGCCGAAGTAAATACATTGTTTGAAATTTCTGATCTCAGAGCAAACAGAGTCCAGTGGAGGAGCTGCTGCGGCAGGCTGATCAGTTGATTTCGAACCAAAGGCCAAGAGCGGAAGTGTACGCTGCGATGGCGGAGACTTTGGGCCAGGCATGGCGCGACGTGAACGAGCTTCTGGAACGCAGAAAACAGATCCTTGACTCCAACGTGTTGTTTCAATGGTGTGCAAAGCAGCAGACTCCTTACTATCGCGAGAAACGAAAACATCGAACCTGTCTCGAAACAAATAAAAAATTGTGCGGATCCAACAAACAAATCAAAGATAAATACTGTAGATGTTTTCTTGTGAAACGTAAACACAATTTAAAATCAGAATATATTTCATTCATCGATGTATGGTTTAAAGAATGTAAACAAGACATGATAAAATTGATTAAGATTAAGACATGGAGGAGTGAGAAAAATTATTTCCTATAGAAAGGAGTCTGCAACTTTTCTATTGAAAAGTTGTTTTTTGTAAACAATCTGATCTACTGGCTAACATCCATGAAATATGCTATTATTCTCTATGATTTATTCTCTACGTTCACTCCTTCAAATAGTTATAGATGTAAGCTTTGTTCGTTTAACGGGAAACACTATCAAACAGTGTTATTTAATCCCTGTGTTAAAGCACATAAGGCATTTTCAGTCTACAGCAACATTTCCATTTGACACCCCAAGATATATTACTTGGGTCGACCAACAAGCATTCAATCTGTCTATTTTTCCATGTTTTTCGAAGCTACTTCTGAAACCTAAGAAATGTAAAATAGAAATTGGTTCATTTGAAACAATCATAAGTTGAGTGACTAGTTCAAAAGTTATTACTTATTCAGAATAAGGTAGTACTATTCCTCAAACAGCTGTAAAATCAATATATTTTAATATTTTGAATAATCCTTCGATATACTATAATTAAGTATAGCTAAAAATTAAGATGCATCAAGCATTCAATCTGTTTCAACAAAAACGCGAACCAACCTCAATTTCTATTTAAAATTTAAACTGTAATTTTTACAATACAGTCATTTATATCAACATTGAAATCTTGCAAGTAGATTAATAATACTCGTGCGTGATTTTAGTCGAGCGGAAGAATGTCGTGAAAACATGAGAGCCCTAGAAATGGCTTGCAACGACACGCTGCTACCCATTGAGATCGAAGCGGTGAAAAATTTCTTATCGAAGATCCACGATCTTCGGAAGAACATGCTGGAGGCACTGATGGGCGCCTTGCAGGAGGGAAAGAATTTGTTGGACAGATTGAAGGAGATCGCGAACGAAGGTACCTTGGACTCCAGGCCGGACAGGATCAAACTGGAAGCTGATCACGGTGAGCGGCTGCAATTAATGTTTCCGCTGGAAAAACGTTTAATTATAATCAATGTTCGCCATTTTCTTTGAGCCAGTTCCCTTTCGCTTTTATTTAATCGATGACATAATTGATGTGTGCCGTTCGCGTGCCGGCACGTTCCATCGTGCTTCGTGGTACACGAACGCGGATACAAATAAACAAGCTTTTCTGCAGTCAAACGGTATGCAGGGTGTCTGGGATTCTCAGTTCGGCTTATCTGCCAATTTTGCACAACATTCGTGCGCTCGAATCGTTGGAAAATGATAATACATTGATATGATTAGAGATCTAGAGTATCGTTGAAATGTATCAGGAATTAATCAATTTTTCCAAATTGCTCTGATAATCGACAAATGTTTCGTATAATAATAATGATAAGAAGAAGAAGAAAATAGAGAATATATATTTTGAGTGGATACAGGTAGACATCAACCGTAGTGAAAGATTTTTAATTAGGAATTAATTAATTTAATGTGTGTTTCAAGATAAGGAATTTCATGTCTGAAAAGTTTGTAAGGTTATTCCAAAGAATTTTGATTTTAGATTCGAAATGGGAAGTATTTTCCAAGTGGGGTTTTAGAATTTTGTTTTTTTATTAAAGTTCAAGTGGTACGGAATATACCATTTTCTTTTATTTTAGAATTAAACATGATAGATAGTATCCTGTAACTGAAATCTTAAAAACTGTTTGTATCTTAATTTTAATAAAGTAGTTCTAGTAGCCACAGAAAAAAAGGATTAATCAATTTAAATTAAGTGTAAAAATTAATTCTGTGTTTCTATAATCAACTATTTATGATTTCAATTTAACCAGATATATTTACTCGTCATTTTGGTACATTAACGTATGAACCTTCATCCTTCTATCTACATATATGAACTTTAATAGTAGCATATAATAACAAAATGTGATTAAATATTTCTACTTAAACTAAAGTTACATATGAGTGTAAATAAAGGCACATGATTAATTTCCACACCTAAATTTGACATTATATAGAAATTTATATTGAACTAGATATCGTCTGATAATAAAAGGAATTTTTCTTATCATCCCTGTGTAGCCGTATTAAAAGTTGAAAGATGGTTGGAGGAGCTCCACGACAGAAGACGACTGATCGAAACGTCGTTTCGTAGCAGAAAGACTCAATTGGAACAATGCCTGGCTCTGGCTCTGCTGGCGACGGATCTACGCGATCTCGAAGAGATCCTGAACGACAGGATTGCTGCTCTTTCGAGTACCTGCGATCAGCTAGGAGATTCCGCGTCCAGCGCGGAAATACTCCTATTCGAACTGAAAAAGTTGCAGGCCGAAGCGAAGGTATTGTTTAACAATGAAACTGCGTTATTTCTGTGCCGAATTCCTTTTTTTTTTTTTAATGAATTTTCCTTTGGAAATCAATTTTGTTATAAAACTATGTTATAACAAATTTAAAAATAAAATATATAGTTTCGTATTTAAACATACTAGCAGTAGTTCAAATATTTTTTCATTTTTTAAAATTAAATAGAACTCATTTCTTCCAAACGAATCTCTTTTTTAAATGTTTTGATCACAAAACTACGTCGTAATAAATTTTAAAATAATGTTAAACTAATACATAAATTTAAACATGAAGCTTTAGTGCAACAACAGCAAATGAATATTATTTATTTAGATAACGAACAGTAGAACAATACTATATATTTAACAATAAAAGTAAGCGATGGTTTATGATGATTTTCCTTATTTTTATTGTTTTTATAGGATAATGTCTTGAAACTTTGATGATTGTAGGAGTTCCAAGACAGATCGATCAAGATAACGAAGTCGACCGAACGATTGGTGTCATCGGGACACTTTGCCGGCGAGCAAGCGACAGAACAAGCTTATGCCATCCTCGGCGCCGCGGCTGATTATGTCAACGACTTGGATCAGTATGAGGCGTTGCTCAATAGGGCCGTGACCTTCTTTGATTCGGCGCGATCGGTGAGCATTGACCTCGTGCACTTGGTCTGCTTCATATCCTCATGTTGCTCAAGTCGTATATTTTATTCAGAGATTTTAAATGTATAATTTCCCAGAAGGTCATCTGAAGGTCAATATATTGTATATATTAGAATTTGTTTTTCTATTGGCTACATATAACAGTAATACAAATATCTCATTCTATTTGAAAGAAGTCGATGACCTTAAAGTCTCGAGAAACAACCGTGAAACAAATGGCACCTTTATCACAATATTTGCCCTTTCAAAATATACATTGTATTGGTGTGTAGGTGTACACTTCTTACGACCTTGAACCTTCGAGAAACAACTTTGAAACAAATGACTCCTTCAGCACAATATTTATCAGTATGAAATAAATATCGTATTGATGTATGCACTTCTTACCATCATATTACTTTTAACATTTAAAAAAGTTTAAAATTTTCAAGTTTGAGCAAGGACAAGCGGTGTGTACGATCGAATATCGATTTAGAATAGCGATCATTACCTCGTAGGCCCTCACGAAACTGGATCAACTAGAGATCCAGCTAGTGACGACGGAGCATCCCCCATTCTCGACAGGATTAGCGCGTTTCCATGCTCAAATGGTCGCCACCATAGAAGACGTAACCTCGAAACCATTAGCGGAAGGATACGCCCTCCTCGATGTCACAGGAAGAGGAGCGCCTGGCGCCGAGGTCAGACAGATTAATTATGATTTATAATTGCGTGGAATTCGTCGACAGTCTCTCAATGAAATTCTCTGCGAATGGTTATTGTGTGTACCTTCCCTTTGAGGCACCCCTTATAATATTCGATTTATTATTATTGTCATTATAGAAAGGGATTATGCTCTTTGGATTAAAGTATCTCTTCGTACAAATCAGTATGGTTTTAAAGAATAAATTAGTTTTGTAATTTCTATAATATTGAGAGACTTGTTCTGTCAGAATTATTAGTCGGTAATGACATTCCAAGCAATCTATTTATACTGTATCAATTTTCTTGGTTCTACAATATCTACATATTTTTATAATACGAAAAATTAAGAAATACTTTGAGTAATTTTACGGTACTATAGTAATACAAATACATAAGTATGAAGTTTGACCGATACAATATATCCAGATATAGATACGTATAAACATGCAATTTTTTAAGTATTTCAAATATTCCAAAAAGAATTATTTCTATATAACTATACTTATATTTTATTATTTGTTGAATTCTGTACTCGTATATTTGCATAATTGTCATAATATCGTTGTAACATGCCCCAAAATATTTCCTACTTCGTCGTATTAAAAATGTAATTATTATATAAGGATCGGAATAGGTATGTCTAATAAACATAAAAAGACATTAATGATTAACACTTTAAATTATTATCTGTAAACTGTTCAAGTACATGTTAAATATTTTACAAAAATGTTCAATTACCTCCAGATTTAATTATCAATCTCACTCCATAACTGTTCGTGCACTCCATGCCTGTTCCTTTACTTTAATCTACTCCCACCTTCTTTATTCTTCAGGGTGTGAAACGGACGGTGGAGGAACTGGAGAACCGAAAGATTCGCCTAATGGAGCGATGCACTGCTCACGAGAAAGAGAACCTCGAGATATCTAGAACCATAAACACGTTTCTGGACAAACGCGACGAGCTACGAAAATGGCTGTCGAGCATCCCCGAGGCGTTTCTTCAGGGTCATCAGGACATGGGCAGTGACGTTCCCATGGCAGAAGATTTCTGTCGATTGCATCGTCAGCTACTAAACGACCTTGAGAGAAGATCTGGCGAGGTCCGGAATCTCGAGTTCGAGATACTCCCTATCAAAGATCGACTGGAGGAGTCACAAAAGATAGAATTGCAGTCGAAGGTCGCCGACCTTGAGAATTCTTGGTCGAAAACGAAGGACCTGGTAGCGACGAGAATCGATTTGGGAACGCTTTACTGCCAATTTCACGTGGACGCCGAAAAATTGACGAGGGAAATTGAATCCATTGAAAATGAACTGACGAGGCATACGGATGTCTTCGACGAGGTCAAAGTTGAGGAGCTAGAGAGACGATGGAAGGACTTGCAGCCGCTTTATGCGAAACTCTCTAGCAATGGAAAGACATTCCTGGACGCTGCTGTGAAGGTGAGTTGATTTTTAATTATATTTTCATTCATTTATTTGCTTTTGAGATGATTTTTATTTGTATTACTGTGTATATTATATATTTGTGTGACTGTAACGATTTAAACGCGGAGGAAATTAGTTTATTATTAATTCCTAAATTACTTGCTAGCAAATATAGTTGAGAAGTCATTAATAAATAAGATTTTGCTTCTGCAATTAAAGAAAAATACTAATTTATGAAAACAATTTCTTGTCAAGGAAAAAGAAATTAAATGAATTTTAAAAAGGGAGAATTTATCATAAATCATATAATGAAATTATAAAATAATATGCTAAAATATTTTTTCAGATCGACGACCCCTATCTCGACGTACACAGAGCCTGTTTGTGCGTTCAGACACTTTTGGATAAGTTCGCTAATAAGCAATTGCAATTGAAAAGAGTCACCAGCGAAATTTTAATGGAAAAACGCATCGAGTACGAGCGAAAGATTGAAGAAAGTACAAAGGTAACTGAACTGATACCATTCATTACATAATACAATATTTAGAACCAGAAGTGGTTGATAATGATCACGAACATCAAAGGACAGTCATTGATCTTTATTTATATTTAAAATTGTAATAATTATTACAATCTCCATTGGTCCAACTACTACAAAGTCAAACAACTCTCATTTTCTACAGTTTCCTTTTTATGGATATTAATGACTAACTTCAGGTTCTAATTTTTTCAATTACAAAAGCAATATTTCGTTCAAATCTTTATTTATAATTTGATGCCTATTTGCGATAGTCAAACTTTGAAAATATTATTTCGTCGATTTGTTCAGACATTAGAGACAATTACGACATACAGCGAGCAACTGTATCCAGTGATAAGAACTCAGTCCTCCGAAACAATGGACATTCTCCAGGACTTACAAAGTTCGAAACTTCGCGTTCCGTTCGAGTTAAACAAAGCAGTGAAGGAATTGGACTCTAGAATTAGAAGCATGAACACTTTGGGTCAGAAAGGTACTTAAGCGAACACGTAAATAAGAAGAAAGGTTTATTGAATGATATCTAATTCATTTATCAAAAATATTAATGCAGGAGACGCACAAGTTGCCGAAGAGATCATGAAGAGACTTCAACAGGCGCACTCGAATATGCGTACGACAGCTACTGACTATGAAATTCTCCTGGACTCGTTGATATCCATTTTCCAGAACATCGAAGATGTAAGATGTTGCATCATGATCCGTTTTTAATAATAAACATTGATAAATAAATAATAGTAAACGTTTTAACTATGAATAGAATAGAAATGATTAATATAATCTATAAGAAATACGAAATTCTGTAAGCATCTAAGATCACTAAAACATGAATAATGTATTCCAAATATACATATATTTTGGTTATATAAAATATTTCAATTTTTTCACTCGTTATAGGTTGAATAAAAATTAAAGTCAACAATAGTATGACTCTATGTATTGAATAAAAATCAAAATTTAATTTCTGAAATGATGATATACCTACATATGCTGTATAAAAGTTAAAATTTAAATTTTAGGATGATATTCTATATCGAATGAAAATACGAATCTATTCTATTATTACATGTTAAGTACAAATTAGAACCTAAATTCGAAAATTATATTACGTACATCTCATGCTCCGTGAATAATACTTTGTTCAAATAATAACCTATTGTTCGAATTAAATTTTACTTGCGATTACTAAAACTTATATATTGTGTAAGTTCCGCCAAATTAATTTTTCTATTTCGTTCAAGATCAAGCGCGAAATCGATCAGCTGAAGATTCAGGCGGAGCGTGTAATGTCCCTGAAGAGCATACATGAGGTGGAAACCGCATCCAGCGAGCTAGACATGAAAAAGAAGGTGATCAACGATCGATTGGGTCAACTGAACGCAAAAACGGAAGAAGTAGTAGCTACGATCAGGAAACAGGAACCACCAGAGGCTGCTGCTCAGGACATTGAAAAATTGAACCACGCAGCGTTGTTGGCGGTGATCGATTTTACTTTTTACGAGTGTCAGATGAAGCAAATCGAGGAGCATCGACGAACCTGCGTGTTCGCGGAAGATCTAGAGAGGATCCACAGCGAGCTACACGACCTGAACGAACACCTGAGATCGGTGGATGCGAAGATTGGCGAAAATCTTCAGGTAGTCAGGAACGCTGCTGCTTCTTTCGTGCAGTTTGAGAAAACTGTCAAGGTAAGAATTTAGTTTCGTTAGTTAATCCATACTTGATCTTAATAAAACGACATATTTCAATTTACTTTTTTGACTTCTTTGTAGATCCTTTCGCAAAATGAGGTAAATTTTATTTCGTGTATAAGCAGAATACACGTTATTAAAGTAATTATGTCTGTTACATACGTTTCTTAAGTTAAATAAATGTAACATTGTGTAGATAATATTAAAGAAGTAGAAAAGAATTTTTTAATTAGCACAGTATTTATATTAATTAAAAACGTAAGAGTTATAAATTTAGTCAGATTGTACACATTTGGATCATTTTAATGTAACCCAACAATATTGTTTATATTTCGAAAAGGACTTACAAGGATGTTAAAAAGAGATGTAAATAAACAAAATTAGTTTGCGATGGACTCATTCTATGTATGGCAAAATTTCGTTTTCTATGAAACGTTTGCTGAAACGATGTAATCTCTGTTGTTGAATTTTAAGTGTTTTCTAATTGCAATTAACAGTGTTAAACATTTATTGTTTAATGCGCTTGACATAGGAAACTGTGTTAAACTGGTGAGTGAAGAATTACATAAATCATTTCTTGAAAAGTTAATATAAACTAATTTTCTAATTCACTTCTTATTATAATTTTTATGACAATTACACATTTGTGTTATTATGTACTGAAGTACATATATCAATCTTATGGTCCAAGCCATAATTTAATATAGAATCAGATTAATTCCATCATATTGGCTCGATGAAGCTTATCAATATATAATCTCTTCATCAAGTTTATCTTCCAGTTTTCATCAACGTAGTTCGCATTCTTAGATTCTAGAGGAAAGGATCGAGACATTCATAAAAACGACGGAGGAATCCGTTTCCGTTCTAACGCCACAAATTGCGAGTGACATTTCCTCGTTGAGAGAAAGGTGGAGAAACCTTAGGGAGAAGGTAGAAGAAACGAAAAAACGTATGAACCTGAGTGTGGACTATTTCGTACTTTTGGAGGAAGCTAAAGACTGGAATAGAACGGGTAGCAAATTGTTGATGGCGATCGCGAGGAAAGCGACCATGGTGAAAGCACCGAAAGACGCAACGGAGTTGCTTCAGGAAATCGAAGAGTATTTAAAACCGGGCGAAGAGATGCAGGAGAAGAGGATCGAGAAGTTGAAGCAACTGTCGACTATTGTTTTCGGTAAGTTCAAGCACGTTTATTTGAATATAAAGAGTTTTCCTAAAAGGGGTTTAAGATTAGAAATAAAAAAACAACTAACCAATCCCAAATAAAATAACATAACAATAGAATACATGTATAAAAAAGTAAAATTAAAAAGATATCAATGGAATCAATTAAACTTGTCTGAACTTACAACAGGTACGGACAGACTGCCGCAATTCAACGAGGTGATTGTTGAGAATCGTCAGATGCTGGACTCGTTCGCCGTCGTTTCCTCGGAGTTGCGCACACTGGCGGAGAACTTGAGGAATACCGAGGATTTACGCGAGAAGCTACGAATCGAGAAACAGGAAACAAACGAGCAGTTGCAGGCCGCCAAGGAAGTGATGGCAGCTGCGGAAGCAGCCAGGCAGGAGGCTGAGAACGCTAGGAAAATCGCTGAGAAACTCGCGGCAGAAACGTTGGAGAAGGCTACGATGGAAGCAAAGAAGATGAAAGAGGAGAGGGAAACCCAAAAGGTTTCTGCACCACCGTTGTGCTCGGTGTCTGCGCAGACTGAGAAGATAGAAACTATTAAAGACGGGAGTTTCGTCAAAGAAAGTGTCACTTCGTCCATCACCACTAAAGAAATACACATTTTGCAAAAGGTATGTTGCACAAGATGCATGTTTCATAGGATACATGCTGCAAATCATGAATCTGTCATTTTATATAATAATTAATTTTTCATTATGAATTTTAATCGCGATTCTTACAATGAATAACACTGTTCCAAAAATTCTTTAACTGTGCAACAATAAACAACAATGAAAATAAGTAGAAGTAAAGTTTAGGTGTGCTAATGAATACCACAAACCACTTTAAACAAGTTCAAACTTGTGACTACATGTCATTTTCTTGTAAGTTTTCGTAATTATCTTCCAGTTCCAATTATGTAGATACTGTCCTTCTTAGATTAATTGTCTTAACACTTTACCAACTGGTAGCGGTTCAAGATCCTATGCCCTTCTCACCGGCCGCTCGGCACCAAATCTTCCCTGACACCGGGAATTGTATAAAAATACAAGAGCTTACAGAGCAAAGCAACTTGTATCTCAATTCAAAGTAACAAATACTTGCTAGTTACCATAGCAGTTACCGGTCGGTGAGCGTTGGGGACGAAAAGTCGATTAATCGGCTACCGGTCGGTAAAGTGTTAATTAATCATCTTTTAATATTTGAGAAAAATGAAGTTTTATGATTTTAGTTGTTCCATCTTAGCTTTATTATTTTTTGGAAGGTAAATATAACCAGGAAATGTATGGTTGACGTAACAATAAATTAAATGCAACAATTTATAAATAAAATTTTATTCACATCTTTTGGTTATACTATCCTACAAAGACAGGATTCCTACTTGTTTCAATCATATTATTTCAGTGAAAAGCGATGTAGCTCGAGCTAATACTCGTACAAGAAGACGAAACATAACAATATTCAATATTTATTTATATAATTACCTCACTATCATAATTAAAATTGTATTTTAGACGGAGATCGAGGAGACAGTTCCAGTGGTTCAACGCGAGCCAAGTCCATTGAAGAAAGTCGCTACAAAAGACATACACGAGCAATCTTATGAAACACTCCCGAAGGAAGAGGTTCTACCCTTAGCTCCAGAGTTCTCCATCCCCCTGAACGATGCCACGGTTCAAGAGGGCGAGAAGTTCACCTTTCAGTGTAACCTTATCGGTCATCCATTGCCAGAAGTGGTTTGGTACAAGGATGGAATTTCAATCCTAAATAATCCAGATTATTTGACCACTTACGTGCAAGGTTCTTGTACCCTGACGATCGAGGAGACCTTTGCCGAGGACTCTGCCAAATACACCTGCAGAGCGTTCAATATCGCTGGTTCGGCTGAAACAACTGCTACGTTGACTGTCAGTGGTAAGACTTTTATTCTGAGTACTTCTTGCGAGAATTTATGCGTAACTTAAGTTACTACTGCATAATTAACACTGTATTTCTCAAACGATAATCCCCTGTTACAGAATTGTCTTTAGAAAATTCTTCAGGCAAAGAAAAATAAATTTCATACTGGAAAATTATATATCAAAACAAGCATGTAGGCATGGGAGTTCAATACGTATAGTAAATCGCAATTTAAAACATTAATATAATGTAAAATGTAAGAGGAGGAAGAATTATATTTTAATGTATTCTTTTCTCACAAACTTGGAATGTCTATTAGAAAGATAAAAGAAAATTCATGTAATACAGAGTAATTAAAAAATAATTGAATAGTTACTAGCAAGGAAGTACACTAAATAAGCACACGCCGACTTTTATCAAAATATAGAAGATAATTTGAAAAAAAAAAAAAAAATAGTTGACATGTATCTTTTTTAAAGTTGGGGGTGAAAAATATGTTTCTGTAATTAAATAACTTGGAAATTAGAGGAGTTATTTAATTTAATTTAAACAAATAATTGCTTAATTATTTGGTTAAATACAATAATATATAAAACAAAATTGTACTTTGAAAAATTAAAGACACTTTATTACTCTTCAGTCGCTGTATAATATAAAACTTAAATTTATAGAGACTGCACCGGAAGAACAACCGAGTCCACCAGTGTTTGTAAAAGAGTTGGTGCCATCGGTGGTAACGGAAGGCGCATCTCTTCGGATGGACTGTGTCGTCGAGGGCAATCCTCTGCCCACCGTACAGTGGTACAAGAACGACACTAATATCGACAATTCGCCCGACTACGTCATCACTTACAACAATGGCGAAGCTGTTTTGAAGTTCGATGAAGTGTTCCTGGAGGACAAAGCCACTTACACGTGCAAAGCCGCGAATCGATTGGGTCAAGCTTCTACTTCTGCTTCTCTGACTGTGGAAGGTAAGATAATTAAGCAGTAATTAATATTGTAAGGAGAAAGAAAAATTCGTCCGTACCCAAATAACACTTTTCTTATATTTTGATGAACATATCGTGGACGAAAGAATTTGTTCTTCAATAATCGCACTATAATATTATAGTTACAAGGCTCAATTAATTAGAACACAATTCATTCTTTATTTTGCTAAATATATTCACAAAGAAACGTGCTATTGATTGAACTAATATTGCAGAGAATTTATTTTCACGTACGTTTCATTCACTTTAACAATTGGGAAAACGAAAAAACTATTGGAAATTTATTAAAGCTATACTGCACGGTGCTAACGAAAACTAACATTGTATTAATCAAATAAATACAATAGCCTTAGAACTGCTTCATAAGCTCTTCCCTCTGTATCATTTTTTGAACCTACAATGAAACGAGATATACAATTCATACCTGTTGAATTATTTCAATTATAAACTTACTCTTACCGACAACAAAGAGTATCTTGCTTTCCGGATGAAATATCTATCTTGTACTGATTTGCAAAACGTTCGAAGATTTGTTTTATGTTTATTTTCAGCGGTGCCGATTAGCCAGGAGAAACCACGTTTCGTGACACCCCTATCGAACGCGATGGGAAGGGCAGGCCAGAGGGTGAAACTCGAATGCGAAGCAACAGGAACACCCATGCCAACGATGACCTGGTATCACGATGAAAGACCTGTCGAGGAGACCACGAAATTAAAGGTAAAATCTTGCACGAAAATGAATATACACAGTGCACTCTAATACAGTCATTCCTATAAGTATTCGTGCCTTCTCTACGTATTGAGGAAAATGTAATTGTAAATAAAATGATGGGTTCGATGTTTCGAAATAAATATTTTATTATAAATATCTATATGTATATTATAATTAAAAATGTATTTGGAAACATCAAACCTATCATTTATCTTAGAAAAATCTCTTTGATAGACATAAGAGTAAATATTTCTGTTTAAACTAGACATATGAATAAAAGAAATGTAGAAAAATAGTTTCTGCATGTAATAATTGTCAAGTACAATTGTAATCTGTTAGAAGAACAACAATAAGCAAAATTTGTGAGCTACTGAACTTCGTATATCTAGATAAGTTGTAATGCCTCTTTGGTTAATACTTATATCTATATAGATTCATTATAACGAAAATCAGGTTGAGAACTTATAATATTACAAATTTACCATACCAAAATGTTGATTAAATATCTCTACTTAAACTATAGATAACCGATTCAAGAAAAAGACACAGAATTAATTTTAACACCTAACACATTTAAAGGAGGGTGTTAAGAAATGCCCATTTTTGGCATCGTCTGCAAATGAAAAATTCATGCAGGATCCTGTAGTGTGTCTCCCAAGGAAGACAAAATGTCGGTATCACTTTCCCGAGAAACGATGGGAAAGTTGTCAAAAATACGTTCAAAGTATGAATCTGATGATAACGGAACTTACGTATATTTTACATTTCGTCGTCTTCTTCTTCGGATATAGAACTGTCCTCGAAATATTTAACGACTTTTTATACGTCCTGCGATTACTTCGACATTATATTGATATTTTGTAATGAATTTCAATTCATTAACTTGTTCAACTGTTAATGGTTTCCGAGTTTCCACTACAGAGAATCGAAAGCCACGATCCGCAAGGAAAATATCAAATACCCGGTTCAAAGTAACTTAATCGAGAGTATCGAAACGTTTTAAAAATGATTAATAATTAAAATGACAGCGGAGATTTTGAATTTCAAGTCGCAGTACAATCATACAATATTGATTTAAAAAAATACCAGATAGATGTGGAACCAATTAACGCCATTTTACTTCAAACGAAACTGCATTCACTACATTCAAATAATTTAAAATACTTTGTATATGTATTAATTGATAAAAGTAAAACCGCACTGGGAGTCATACTTGCACACTCATGTGGATGCAAAGTTGGAGTACGCGTTGTTGGTTGCTGTTCCCATGTAGCCATGATTATATGGTACTTTGGATTTGCTCGATATCAAGCTTCAATTCACTTGCCTGCTGAGTTCCTTAATACTTATTTCGAAAACGGTTCGATATCCGAAGAAGAAGACGACGAAATGTAAAATATACGTAAGTTCCGTTCTCATCACATTCATACTTTGAACGTATTTTTGACAACTTTCGCATCGTTTCTCGGGAAAGTGATACCGACATTTTTTGTTCCTTGGGAGACACTCTAAAAGACCCTGCATGAATTTTTCATTTTCAGACGATGGCAAGAATGGGCATTTCTTAACACTCTCCTTTGCTTTTCCATACCAAGTAATCCTTCGCAATCACTAAGAAAATTTCCTATATTTAAAATGTCCTTGCAGAAGGGACATCCCACTTCAGTATGTTAAGAACGTTGCGAGTCGGTGCAACGATACCATCTTCAATGAAAATTGCTTTCCTTGTGTCCTCTCGCTTCTACAATCCCTTCTACGAGCCGATGCATGCATCTCTCAGTATTTTTAGCGACTTGCACGCGCCGAATTCGAAACAGAGCAATAAGTCGTAGCAGGAAAACGAACAGCTGGAATCGAGAGCTCAGGGTGTCGCGATCCGCTGTTTCAGATCCAAACGGACAACGGTAGGAGCAGCTTGGTTATCTCCGAGGCCTTCGCAAAGGATGCTGGATGCTACATGGTGGCTGCCAGGAACGATGCCGGCGAGGCCACGGTGTCCTGCAACGTCTCCGTGAAGGGACGTTTTCCTCAAGATACCAGCGACTCAGAGCTCGCTTGCAGCGACATGGAACCCGTGGTACCGAAGATTCAGATGCCCTTGAAGGACCACAAGGCCCAGGAGGGACGGACGGTTAGGCTGGACTGCGTGATCGTAGGCCAACCTGAGCCTGAAGTGAGTGTTTATCGAGGAAAGAACACTTTTTGTGTTGTGTTGGTCAAAGGTATTCAGAACGGTTGATATCGTTGAGTAATATCGAATATTGTTTAATTGACCATCCAGTGATAATATGAGCAGTTGAATATGAAAGAGGTATATTTCATTGTTTTTTCTTGTTTCTTTTAAACCCCTTAATTCAGAGATGGGCAAAATCTTTATCTAAATACAAATTTTAAATATCGAATAAAGATGAAAAATTATTATCTCTTACTCGTCAAATAAAGATACATAACTTTATGTTTATTCGATGACTGCCGAATAAAAAAATGTATTCGAAGTAAATGTTATAAATGTTATAAATTTCTTAAATTGATGTTATTTATTTTAATTTCAAATTTAATAAGTTTACCTATATTTGAATATTATAAAATTGGAACATGTATATTTTGTCCATTAAACCAAATTTTATTTTGACTAATTACAGGAACATTTATTATATTAACATGATTAGGAAGACAATTAATTGAATATCTTAATATTGAACTTCGTCAAATTTGAACATTCATGAAATCTTAATTGGCATAAATTAATATTTAAATATTTATAAATAGTTAATGGTATAATAGTTATAACAACACCGCATGTACAAACTGTGTATTCGTACAGAAATCAACAAAAACAAATCAGAGTGAAATCAGTGTTCGACCATGTTGTGACTCAGCATGCAGAATTCCTTCACTTTAAGATCGCTTAAAAGAGCACATTTAAAAATTAACTTCGGCGCAGGTCGAATCCTAAGCAAAGACCAGCACCAACATGTGGCCGCCAGGTAGCCAAAGAAAGAAACCTTCGCCAAGGGTTGCCGATAACCTAAAGTGCAAATCTTGCCGAGTTCTGGTTTATAGTATAGAACGGCTAGTACGCTGCTTTACCCGTTCGATGCTGTTATAACTATTATACCATTAACTATTTATAAATATTTAAATATTAATTTATGCCAATTAAGATTTTATGAATGTTCAAATTTGACTAAGTTCAATATTAGGATATTCAATTAATTGTCTTCCTAATCATGTTAATATAATAAATGTTCCTGTAATTAGTCAAAATAAAATTTGTTTCAATGAACAAAATATACATATTCCAATTTTATAATATTCAAATATAGGTAAACTTACAAAAATTGAAATTAAAATAAATAATATCAATTTAAGAAATTTATAAATTTTTCTACATGGGAACATCATGAAATCATCTCGATCGGTTACTCGTTGCCGAGTCGTAGCAACCAATAGGAATTTTGCAATAACAATGCTTATAAACATTTAAAAAGACCATAATTTATATCTACAGTACACGTCTATATGCGCAAGTATACACTTCCTTACTCCTGTATAATTATGTATAACTATACTTTACAACCGCCGACCAAACAGTAAATACCGCTTGAAAAGTTATTCGATCCTTATCCGATAATTTCGGATAAAGATAAAAGTACGAAAGTTATCCCACGCGACGAGTGAAACTTCAGTTAAAGATAAAAATGCGAAAATAACCTACGGATGAATATCTCTGGAGAGAAACTAGGTAACTCTAGCCGTCGAATAAAGATACAAATGCGGAAAAGTATCTTAGGGTTGAAACTCTCGGGTAAGAACCAGGTATCTCTAGCGGTCAGTTAAAGTTAAAAATGGGAAATTACCCAACGAGTGAAACTCTCTGCAGTTAACGCAGGTATCTTTAGCCTTCGAAAAAAAATAATTTAAGTTATCTTTATCCTTTGAGTACATTTACTTCGAATACATTTTTTTATTCGGTAGTCATCGAATAAACATAAAGTTATGTATCTTTATTTGATTTTCTATTTAAATAATTTTTGTATCTAAATAATGCCCATCTCTGCCCCTTATTTACTGAATTTCTTAAAAGTTTTAAATCTAGGCGTCCATCTTGGTCTTACAATATATCATTTTACAGAGTTGTCTCTAAGAAGCTTCCAAAAGAAAAAAAGCTTGTGCAGCCATCCAAAAATTAAAAACGAACTTCATAGAAGTGTTCTTAAAAGTCACAATAGGTTTCAAAGGGTTTAATTAACACAGTACCATAAAAAAATTGACGGGACTTGTAAGTCCCGCCAGTAAATAAAGAGTTCTTGCAACATGTTAGTTTTATCTGTGAAGCAGTTTCTGTGTCGACGAGGTAATATTTTCTTTCGATGTGATGACGTAAGTTCAGTTGTCAAACGGAGACTGAGGCAATACTGATGAAGATTGTGTAAACCCAAAAACGTGAATTGTCATACGTTTCATAAAAATAATATATTAGTAGTATTACGTACTAGAATCTAAACTGTCCGAATTTAAATAATATAACAATCTCTTCACAGTTCTCGTTGTCTGCATTTACCATCATTATTTAAATGTATACCATTTACCATCGAACATTAATTTCATCACTATTCTTGATAGAAAGACAAATTCAAACATGTATACATATGTCTATGATAGACATAAGTGTAAATGTTTCTGTTTAAACTAGATATACAGGGTGGGGCAGAAATAACTCCCACATTTTAAAAGACGATTGAAAAAAAATGGTACGAGATAACACCAGATACTTTTTATTTCTTAAATCTAGATATAAAAAAGTTTTGTTTACTTTATGTTTTAAAAATTATGTCGTCCAAATGGTGGCTTTTACGAGCGATACACATTTGGAGTCGTTCTTGAAAGTTTTCCATCACTCTCGCTAGCATTTCGGGGGAAATTCTTTCAATTTCCTCTTGGATGGCCTTCTTTAGTTCATTCAACCTCGGCCTTGAGGTATCCACACAGAAAAAAGTCACATGTACTTAAATCCGCCGAGGTACGGTCCATACAGGGCGTCGTCAGCGCGAAATTTTGCAGATGGTGTTTCCGGATCAAGTGATTTCTTTACGCGAAGGAGTGTGACTTTTTTCTGTGGGGATACCTCAAGGCCGATGTTTTCAAACATCGTCCTTGGTCCTTGAATGAACTAAAGGAGGCCGTCCAAGAGGAAATTCAAAGAATTTCCCCCGAAATGCTAGCGAGAGTGATGGAAAACTTTCAAGAACGACTCCAAATGTGTATCGCTCGTAAAGGCCATCATTTGGACGACATAATTTTTAAAACATAAAGTAAACAAAACTTTTTTATATCTAGTTTTAAGAAATAAAAAAAAAATGTAGAAAAATAGTTTCTGCATGTAATAATTGTCAAGTACAAATGTAATGTGTTGGAAGAACAACAATAAGAAAAATTTGTGACTCTGTACGTTACAGAATGATTTTTTAAGAATAACTTCTCACAAGGCCACCTGAAGTCGATTGTCTTTAAATTTTGGTATTTCCCCCCTTAACCCCTTCCCGTACTTTAGCGAGTCATACTCGCGACGAGATACATGGGTATTGCGATTGTTTACAAGCATCGGTCTGGTCTGTTTAGCGCGCGTCGGTGCCTACCGCTTGGGCCCGAATTTCGACGAGCTAAATGGCGCGGGAAGGGGTTAACACTAGTTTCACTCTTAACTTATCAAACTACTGATTCATCGTTGCAGGTAATCTGGTACCACGACGAGCAACCGGTGAAGGAGTCAGCCGACTTCCAGCTGCTGTTCCAGGGTGACAAGTGCTCCCTGGTGATCCACGAGGCCTTCCTGGACGACGCTGGTGTGTACAAAGTCGTCGCCATTAATTCTGGCGGCGAAGCGTCTAGTCAGTGCACATTAACAGTGACGCGTACGTACGACGAATTGGTTAAACCATGGAAACCATGTTGCACGGCGTGCATGGTTCGCTAAAACGAAAACAATTGTTCTGATTCAGCGGTCACCGTTACGGATGAGCTGGATAAAGCGCGACCGCCAGTGGAGGAAACGTTCGTACCTGGTTCACCACCGAAATTTGTGAAGCTTCCGACAGACTCGCTGGTAGCAGAGGGCGAGAACGCCATTTTCGAATGCACGGTGACTGGCGAACCGAAACCAGAGTTGAGGTGGTTCTTGGACAATGTGGAGATCACTGCGAACGAAAGAATCTTGGTGAGCCTTTATACATTACATCTTTTACATTTTTACCGCTAAAGAAGGTGTATAAATTTTGGTTTAACTTGTATATTCTATTTTTAAAAAAATTATTGTACAATGCACTCTCGGAAATTATATAAAAATAGTATACCTTAGTACTCATTTTATCTTCGCGATAGTGTCCACTATTCTTGAATAACTTACATATAATTTATTAATTATTTCTGGATGTTTTGCCATTTCATTAACGATACCTCACACAGTTCATCTACGTTCTTTTGTGGAAAGCAGAGTTACATAAACCAATTTTTGTCCCTGAAACTATTCATCATCCGATTCTGTTATAAAAGCTTTAAAAATTGAGCAAATTTCATTCATTTATCTGTTAATTAATTTCTTGTATATGCTAAAATTTAAATATCGTTCAGATCAAGCAGTCTGAAGATGGAACAGGCATACTGAAAATTTCATCAGCGATCCCTGAGGACAGAGGCAATTACGTGGTGAAGGCCATCAACGTCCACGGAGAAGCGAAGGCTTTCGCCAGGCTGGTCGTGAGATCCTTAGGCGATTTCAGAGGAAAGGAGGAATTCATACAGATGGAGGAGAAACTGATTGCACCTACGTTTAAGGAAAGATTCGAGGACAGAAGTGTTCTTGATGGTGTCTCCACGAAATTCGAATGCATCGTTGTTGGAAAACCATCTCCAAAGGTAAGTTTACACGTTGAAAAGGAAAATAATCCTTTACAAAATTTCTAATCGCCTGACAATAGCCAATTAAGCTAAACGATTTATGAAACAGACATGATTTAATTTTATTTATCGCGTAACAGTTCAACTCTGGTCATTTTTCTTTGCAGTTGACTTCAATTGTATCATTTTTTAGTATTATTTGATATTAATTAAGTAGAAAGTACAATTTGGAAATTACATAATTATAAAGAATTTTAAGGGATGATCACATGAAAGAGCATTATTATTTTTTTTTTCATTATTGGGCACCTAGACTAAAACCGAAACCTTAAAATTGATGATGGCGCTATCTACAACAAAACGCCTAAGTTTGTTGTGAAATAGTTCTTAGTTTCTAACGCTAGATACCACTACCAATATCTTCCTACCGATATTAGAGAAAATTCAAATAAATTGTACTATTTTACTAAGTTTAATAATAACTTTAGAATTATACTACAGGTATTATAATAAATTTGGCGTTTTGCCGTGGACGGCGCCATCATTCAGTTTTAAGGTTTCGGTGTTAGTCTAGGCTTTTTCCTTGGCAGAAAATAGAGGTACAAGAATGTTTTCCAAGAACATGCAGGAAACGAATGGAAATTGTTATGACCTTAACGGGAAAATGAAATAATACTGAGGGAGGACGGAAAAGAATATGAAGGAAAATTTAAAAAAAAAATGCGGGAGAAGTGAAAGAAAAATTGGAAGAAATATAAAAGAGGAAGGAAAAAGAAAATAAAGGAGAAATGAACAGGTTAGAGAGGGAGGAACGTAAAGTCTATGCAGGCGAAATAGAAGAACAATGAGGGAGTAACGAAAGAAAAACAAATAAAAAGTGAAATAAAAATTTCAGGATAATATAGAGAACTTTAAAACAATTAAAAAATTAAAAAATTTTTCCACGTAAAGACGTCGTGCAGCTAAAGCACTTCCATTAGAACAGCTATACATAAAATGGATATCTGCTATTTCTTCATTCGAATAATACGCTGACATTTTCACGATAATTTGTAACTGTGTAATATCTACAATCGGCGATCCACAACTAACTGATTCTCAATGAAATCTACTGTCGGCACTTGAATAAGAACACTCAGAATTCGGTTTATAAACACTAAAATAAACATCGCATGCAATGGAAGCAAGTAAGTCACTCATGATACTAGCAAACAAGAATGTTTATATCTCAGAAACAGTTGACCTTTCGACCCATGTGTACTAAAGCTTTTTTACTCAATGTCAATACACTGTATTCTATACACCATATAAATATTGAATGGTTTTTTTTTAACACCCTGAATACGTCATCTTGTGAAAAACTAAAATTATTATATTAACATAAGACTCGTAAGTTACACTGGCCTTTTACTACTTTTAAAATAAAAGTAAAATTGGCATTGCTTTACAAGAAACCGAACTTATAATATAAGTTACTTATAACATAATGTTATATAGACCGGTTGCGATAGTTAAGGGCGAGAGGTCGAACGTCGTAAATCACCCCTTGCTTTCGTCGGTAAAAGCAATCACACGAACAGACAAGTCTCGAACGATGGCGCCGGATCGAGAGCCTACGAAGGTGTCGGAACGCGTGAAAGATAGGGTGCAAAGTTGGCCAGCCTGTCAGGAGGTAGCCGACCAAGAGTAATTTCGTGCCTCCGGGTTATATTTAAACAGGAACAATGTACCTGACGTGGAAATTCGCGGACGCAGCCGCGTCGCGAGGAACTCCGTGAGATTTTCTGTGACACTCGCGGATCAGGTATCGGTACGTGCGTTTCTTCTTCCATAAACCATAAATTCTGTGATAAAATCGATCCACGATCACGATTTCTCGATCAAGCGAACGCGAAACTCAAGAAACGAATGGTTTCCGTGAAATTTTCTGTGACACTCGAGGATTGTGCAGGGAACAGCTGAAGTGTATTAGGATAATACAAGATTAGGCTTATTTCATGCATTTAAAAAGCTTATGTTAACGTGGAAATTCATGTAGAATGTATTACGAGTATCTATAAAAATGGGGCATTTGCGAGAAATTAAATTTTATAGAAGTCCAAAAATGGACGAGGCTTGATGAGAAGCTGTGACAATTTTGAAATTTTCTATGAGTTATTCTCAGTAATTTTAGTATTTTTCTTTTTGTGTAGAAATTTATTTTTAATGGTTCAGTACACGCTGTAGCGACAGTGGATTGTGAAGAGTTAATCGAACCGATGACAGTTGAATTTTTTGTTTTATCATTTTCGAGAATTTATCTGAATTATTATAGAAGATACAGATAGTTTTCTGTTTGTTCTTAGTTAAGAGTTCGGTACAATCAGTTGGTGGGAATTATTGGTATTCAATCAGTTCTAGACAGCGCTCTGTTATATTCATAATATAAATAATACACACCCTCTCCATGTGTTACGAAATAGAAGTTGTATTCTAAATAATGAATTGACTACGTAAATATATAGCGACACAAACTTATAGTAGAACATGTATCTTTCCTTACTTTATTTTTTTCAAATAAGGATTAAAATGGCGATGAGCAAAATGATATTTTAAAGTGTTAGTTTAAATTTAAAATTAAAGTGTTATATTTAAACATTCTTTTCACGTTTATTTCGATTGATTCGAAATTAAATTCTTCTTATTGTCTTTAATTGATTGGATTCTCGATTAATTGTATGTCAGTAATTATTTAAACACATCCTTCGAAGAAAATTAAATTTTTATGAAATTCTCGCATCAATAAATAAAGTACATGTACTATCCCACATATATTTATTTTTGTATTACAATAGACATGCAAAAACCCATTCTAATACAATTTTGTAAAGGTTACAGAGTTTTTATAAAATTATTAATTAAGAAAATCTCACGAAAGACTAATATACACCGCAATTTATCTTTAATATTAACTTTAATTTACAGAATACAAACTTAAACTTTAATATTAAAACGCTAACTCAATTTTAAAGGGGTTGAAGCCTCATTATAAAAACTTGCGACGTTGACGAGCCGCTATATTAAATTTTCCATGAAATTCACCGAGTATGACAGATTTTCGCACGTTCCATTTTCAGATCCAATGGCTGTTTAACGACCGTCCCGTTCATGGAAAGGACTTCTTGGTGTCGGTCAGCGGGGATAGGCAGGTGTTGACGATTCCAGAGACAGAAAGCACGCATGTCGGTACGATTTCCTGCGTGGCGGAGAACGCTGCTGGCAAAGCTACCTGCAGTGCTCGTTTAGAGATCGGTAAGCAATTTACTTTAACACTAGGTTCGTGGAAATTTTCGAAGTAACCTCGCTACATTGATTGTTTTTTTAAGATTACTTTTCTAAAAACTTTTTGAGCATGTTTTTATATATTTCCGCTTTTCTTTTATTTAGATAAAAGTCAGAATAAATGATTCCTGTGACTTTCATTATAAAATTTAAAATGATTTAAAATGACCATGTTCTGTAAACTTAGTGTTAATTACATGGTGAGTGAAATTTTCATTAATGGGGGGGGGGGGGGGGGAGGTGTAAACGCATTGATAAATAAATTCACCGTACTACTTAAATTTTCAATTGATAGAATCATTCGAAAAATAATAAATCAATACAACTATACAAATAAAATATATTAAACAGTTGATTTGTAATTATAGTACGTTAGACAGTTTAAAAAGTGTCATTTAATCTATATCTGGCACAACAAAATTTTGGCCATTTAAATTTTGTGCATATTTAGTATCCATTGAATTTGCTCATGCTTATTCAAAATTTTATTTGTTTTGTATTTAATTATTATTCATGTATTATTCGATTCAGTAACTAGTGAAATATTTTTGTATTCGATTGAGATCAATCATTTGACTGATCGAGATAGAAATAGCTATAAATAAAATGGCGGTAGGTTTAGTGTTAATGAATTAATTTCAAGTTCACATATAGTAATTAGTCGTGTATTAATGATCGAATATTCCGAATCTCGACAGTGCGGAAGATTTCTCGAGGTCGCGTCTAAATGGGCCCTGTCGATCTTTGGAAACCGAACGATTTTTATTACCAGCCTCTGGCTCGTAGAAATCGTTTATTCGTTGCCAAAATATCACCGAACCGCCCGCAACGGTGCCACCGACGGAGTTATTAATACGCGTATACCTAAGTCAAATGGAAGCTTCATTCACGACGGGGCTGATGCACGGTCGACAGAGAGTACTAGCATTTCGCGAAACGTAGAGAAAGATGGGACACGATATCCCGATATCCAAGAAAAGAGGACGACATTGCGCCACCGATGAGCGCTGAAATTCGACACTGTCCGCGTTGCTTTCCGCGAGAAAAGTCGAAGAGCATTACGCGATCATCCAAACGCCACTTGAGCTTACATTTTAGACGTTCTCCTGTGCTTTATGTTTCTTACTTTTCCACACTTTTCATTTGTCGAGGATTTGGAAATTCCAATTGAATCTCTTGAGGATGTGAAATTATGAATTGAATTTCTCAAGAATTATTAAACAATTTTGAGCAATGGAAATACATTGTGAAATCAATTTTTTTTTAAACGAAATTAAAAACACAGGCGTGAGGATTATTATTTAGAATTATACGTGTTTCGACCTCTGGTTCATTTTTCTTTTTTATTTTATTTAACGACATTATTCTTTGAATAGAGTCAAAAAATAATATGTAATTTCTTTGGTATACAAGATTATAATTTAAAATAGGCATGTATTATACAAATTATAATGGGCAAGAATAGAGTCGAAATTATAGGAAATATAACTTATACGAAAGTTGTTATAATTTTATACATATTATTCAAAATCAACAAAGCCACTTCAGAGTCATTTGAACTATAAATAAGAAATCGGTAACATTAAACTGTTACGACTTCTCGTATGTTGAAAACGGATGTATACAATTTGTAACAATGACCGAAATCGAAAGAGGGTTGATGAATATATCAATATATATATAAATAAAATTTAAAATATGGTAAACAGTTCTTAATGGAGAAAATATTATTAATAAAGGTAATAGAACTACGATAAAACGAAGAATGTAGCATTTACAAGCAAAAGTTAAGAAAGAAAGCAGTATTTGGTATTTGTGTCACCTTCAACTACAGATGTTATAATTACATTTAATTTGAAAAAGTTCACACCGTCGCATGGTATTATTCAAATGAAAACTATAATTCGAGAACAAATTTTGATATACATATATATAACAAAATGTTAATTTCTGCCTTAATAATAATTAAATTATAGTCACTCGTGTTTGAATAACATTGACAAACTTTTCATCTAATGATCAGTATGAAAATTCTCTTTTTTATCTTTAAAAACATATCATCCAACTTTATAAATTAGTAAGCGTCAAACTAACATTCAAAAATATCAATCATAACACAAATCTAAAAGTGGAAACGTTTAAAATAAATAAATGCACATTTCTCGACACTGCAAGGTTTTGGACTGCACTTCTAACACTTGTCAGACATTTTATTTATACATTTTTAAATTTTGGGCGGATAAACGATTATTTCGTTGATCCATCGCCGTGGGCCGAGTGTTATATGGAAGGGAGGGTCTTATTTTTAACTGGGGCGACTAAACAAACTCTTTTCTCTTCTTTCACCGACGAAAAGTCACTTTGAGTCACGACTAATATTAGGTCGGTGCACATGCCGCGGCAATTAAATCTGACGTTTCTACGCCCACCTGTACGTATCCGTGTGTGTGTACGTGCCGTGTGAAAACATCCGTCTAGCATTGCTTTAGCATATATTAGCGGGAACTAGTAGGGAAACGTGCTTACATTTCAAATTAATTTTAATAGGTACACGTGTTTGAACGCTTCGAGCCTGTTGTACATTCTAATGTACGTGAAATACAACACCATTTTTTACTACAAAATAATTACATTCTTAAATTAGCAAATGTTGTATGGCTATAATTACTCTGTATTTATTTTGTATTAAAATAAGAACAACTCAGATCTTTCTCTATACCTAATGTACCTCATCTCTCATTACTTAAAACATATAAATTTGAAAAATCCATATTGTGTAAATTTTAAAAATTTATTTATATAGGGACTATGTACATCAGTTTTAATCGAGTTCTTACAATGCATATTACATTTTAATTGATAAATTAAATTGATATTTGTACATTCATGAAAAATGGTACTTGTTATCATTTTCAAGTATTGAACGTTGAAAGTATTGATCTTTTTCTGTTTAATTAGATTTCCATCACCTATATTTCAATTATCACAAGGTAAATTAAAAGGATCTTCTAATATTGCAATTTACAGCAATAACAAGGCACATATCTTCTTGAATTTATTTCTTAAGTTCTGCTAATGACAACATTTTCAAACTCTACTCATTTATTTGAACGAATTTCGAGAAAATGTGTATTATCTTTTTTCGCAGAAAAGTATGAATTTAATTTGGAGAAGTATTTTATTCTATTAATTCTATTAATTTTGTTAGTTTTATTTATTCTAATTAAACAAGAATGTGACGAAAGAACAGCAGTGCTTCATCTGCAGTGTGTCTTGGAATTATAGATTTCCGCTTAATCTGTAGGTAATTAGTACACTTGGATCCGAAGAGAAATTATTTTTGCTTAATGCAGGGAAGTGGGTTCTAGAATTGGGCTGGCCCCAACTGGTATTCTCCTAACTTTCAGTTGACTTTGGGCCAATAATGTTACCGGTTGAATAGCTAACTGACTGTTCGCGCAATGAGAGTGCTCAAAACTTGTCGAAATAGGTGAAACCTATTCTTTCTTCAACGTAACTTCTTCTAAATCTGTGACTTTTATTTTTTACGTTATTCCAACAAATAGATAATGACAAGGTCTCTGCAAACTAGTTAACTGATATCCAAATTGATAATAATCCAAGTACTCATAATTGTTGATAACAAGGTTTTAATGCTTTTCTTTTAAACATCTTTAGTATTTTAATGTGTATGCCTCACAGTATATTTCTTCCTTTTCTATATCATTACAATTAATTGATGACAGAATAGACTAAAATGGATGTTATTGGGCCAGGTGATTGAAACACTGTAAAAACGTCATTCCATATGTCTCAATCCAATACAAGACCACCGTGTGATGGTCGAGGGGTAAGGTGACCCTACCCCAAGTACACTTAGACGGTTCCTTCCTCAACGAACAGGTCAGTTCCGTGTTTCCTGTGTTCCCATAGGTCCGACCGACTGTTTCGTGTATCGCGGTGTTGAGAGACGCTCGTCTTTCTCTCTTTCGACCCGGTGCACACACGCAGAAACCACGTTATTTTTGTCGGCACGAATACCCGGCACGTAGCCTAGTCCAGAGTCGCTAACCCAGGGAATTTAAGCGCGTCTTCTTCGGGGAGCCTCGCTCCAACCGAGTCGCACGACGAATCGGACACGAGCCACAGTCGACCGACCCTGTAAATCGTCCTAGCATCCTGTCATTGGTCGCAGCAACCAGATCCACCGCTCTAATTCGTCCCTTCGAGGTAACTCGCACAATGACGAAGGTTTCGTTTGTTAACCTAATCCAGACCTAATCCAAAAGCATGTCAGTAGAAATATTTATTAAACGATCAGGGTGGGGTCATAAACGTATCTAAAAATCGACATTGCGTCGTCGAGTGATCGACTATTTCGCGAAGTGACACACGTAGGCAGGTGTTTTCCTGAAAAAATAATTTTCTCTTAGAGAACAAGTTCCTCCATTCGAAACTTGTTTGCGTCCCGCACGCCGGCCAGTCTACAGTCGACAGTCGGACAGGTCGCGTTGAACGTGAAAATTGTATGAAAAATTTGAATAACCCGAGTGGTTGGATACGAATGTCTTCTCTGGTGAACAGGATTCCGTGACATGTGCGCTTACTTCTTTGTGTTGACCGATTCTGTTTAAATTGGATGGTGGCGTTACCTAAGGTTCGAGGTGTTTGTGCGTCGAAGTTTGTGTTGAGTTTGAAACTGTATTGAAAGGAATGCTTAAGTGTTCTTCTTGAATAATATACAGTAAATATGTCGACAGGATTAAGAGTAGAGAAACTATTGGTTTAAATTTAAATCATTTTCTGTTTTGCTCTTTAGGTAATTTCTTTTATTGAAATCTTTTTTTATTTCTAGTTTTATTGGTATATTTTGAATCAATTAAGTGAATTATTGCTGCAATTTAATTGAGTGCCCAACGAAGAAAAATAATATTTGATTTAAAGTCGTACAGCAAAGAAATATAGATGAT